AATTTTAAAGCTGGTAATGGAGGCTTGAGCCGTTGATAGCATTCTATAATAATGCAGTTATTAATGAAGTTATTAGAAAGAGAGAGAGAGAGAGAGAGCTTGTGTGAATTAGGCTACCTCTGTGCGTCCCTCAACAGTGTTCTGCAGCAGCGTCTCTAAACAGCGCTGTTATTACCTTGCTAGTGAGAAATGTGATGTGTAGCCTTTAAGTTGCTACACTATATAGGCTACCTGATCAAATTGTCAGGGCAGCGCTGACAACACCTTTTTGTGCAAACTGCATGACCGTAGTGTGTATATATATCAATATATATCAGGGGCGTTCCCAAGGGAGGCAGTGTCTCCTCAAAAAATTGGATGACAAAATAATCGATATTACAAACATAAATCGCAAATATTACTAAATATGGCATTAAAAGTATAAAAGTCACTCGTTTTTATAAAGTAACACTGTGCAACAGCGACACCCGCAGGTAAACTTACAAGATGCTTGTCTCCCTTCAGTCCATAGATTTACAGCAGAGACCCCTTAGCGTGCCGTGACTTTTCTGGATCGTTATTGAGAATGAATGGGGGAAAGTCACGTGAAAGGAGGCAATGCCTCCATCGTGCTATAATTGAATATGATCGGTTATGATTGAATGTGATTGGTTCATGCGATAAATTCCGCCTCTTGTTTTCGTGCAAGCTCTCGGCCTGAATGAAGAAAATGATGGCGTTATTGGCTAATTATACAGTAATTAAACAACTCTCCCGCTTAGATACCACTACTTTGTGTCACTCAAAATAAAACTTGAAATGGTTTGAAAACGTGATGACTGTGTCAGTTTTTAGTGAGCATTCAGCTTGATGAAATGAAAGATATATCTTCGTGTCTGTGGCAGTGTTTACAGAGCTTTTATGACAATGGCCCGAAATAAGTTGACTATTAAAAAGAACAGCTGAACATCAGTTCACAAATAAAAAATATTGGTAACATTTTGCAATACGGTGTCATTTAATGTGTTAACTAATATTGGTAACATTTTACAATACGGTGTCATTTAATGTGTTAACTAACATGAACAAACAATGAACATTTATTACAGTATTTATTCATCTTTGTTTACATTAGTTAAAGATGCAGTAGGAGAGCTTGGAAAATGCTAACTTTAGCCTGATTTTAGCGGAATTGGGAACCGCTGGGCTACATAATGTGTCATTCACCGGTGAGAAAACTTTAAAAGTACTATAATACCAGGAAGGAAGATCGGGTTGTTGATGTTTGTCTGCCATTCTAGCTCAGTCTGCACAGCGTGCGTGAAAGCGCTGATGACGTATCCTGTCTGCGCTAGCCGGGTGCGCAGAGGTATGCTAATACATACATTGACAGGCAGGTAGGAAAGCCAATTAAAAAACGCGGACCGAGCGTTTTGATTGGACGAACATTTCTTGGTCCTACGCCTTCCACAGAATATATAAATACAGATAAATACATTTAGACCACTTAACTTGATGATTGCTATCAGGATGTGAAGAGACTTTTCAACCAGTATGACAAAAAAAATTCCTGAAGACAAATCACCTATTGCACCTTTAACTAAAGTTAACTAATGAAACATTATTGTAAATTGTTTCCAAAATATTGTTCACATTGTTACTGCCTTTAGTTATTATTTTGGAATAAATATAAAAATGCATTAAAACACTATGAAATGTATAATTAGTATTCAAATAAAATACAAAATAATAGTAATAAAATACAAAATAGAATTATATTTGTTCTCTTTTTTATGTAATATTTATTTAACCAGGAAAATGTGACAACATTAAGTGTAACAGGGACATATATATAGGCCTATAGATATATAAAATAAGTGTTGAACACGTCACCATTTTTCTCAGTAAATATATTTCTAAAGGTGCTGTTGACATGAAATTTTCACCAGATGTCGGTAACAACCCAAGTAATCCATACATACAAAGAAAGAAAAAAAACAAATAAATTCAAAAAATAAATTGTGTAATAATCTGGGATTATTACCCAGATTATTACATATTGGTTTCAGAGAAAGAAAATAAAGCTGCTAGAATGGCCCAGCCAATCACCTGACTTGAATCCAATAGAAAATAAGAACTAAAGATCAGAGTTCATAGAAGAGGCCCACAGAACCTTCAAAATTTGAAGACTGTTTGTGTGGAAGAATGGGCCAAAATCACACCTGAGCAATGCATGCGACTAGTTTCGCCATACAGGAGGCATCTTGAAGCTGTCATTACCAACAAAGGCTTTTGTACGGAGTATTAAATAAATTTCAGTAGTTCAATACTTTTTCCCTGTGTCATTCCATTTTATTACACATAACTTAATTTCTGAACTTATTTGTATGTATGGATTACTTGGGTTGTTACCGACATCTGGTGAAAATTTCATGTCAGCAGCACTAGAGTGATCAAATGCATTTTAAATAATTGCTAAAAGCTTCCCAAAAATGAACTTTTCACAAAAAAAGACAAATTACCAGCTAACATTGATTAATCATATCAGCAGCACATGTGAAAGTGTGAATGAGTTGAGTGAGGTAAAATCACTATCATACTAATTAGATTGTAAGAGCAGACTGATTG